GGGAGCGGGACGCTCCGCCCGCCCCTGGAGCCTGGGGGGCTGGATACGCCCAGAAAACCATAAACCGATTTTACCCGAGAGGGCGGGCGAGAGGAGCTCGAGGCTGACAGGTGATCTAGAGGGGGCCGGGGAGGACCTCGGGGAGGGGCCTGGCCCCAACGACCCGACTTCCGTGACACAGCAAACGCAGAAAGACAAAGTCCACTTGGATGGAAGTGGGAGCGCAGAGAGGGGCCATTTTGACTCCGGTGCGACGCGCGGGGAGCCGGGGTCCCAGGTACGGCCGCTCGTCCCGGGACCAGCGGGGACTGGCTGGTGGTCAGGAGTCACGCTCTCGGCGGAGGGCAGAGACTGGCAGACACACTCTGGCATGTGGTTTGCTATTGTGGGGACTTATGGCTGCTTTGGAGAGACTTTCCGAGTCGGCCCTGGCAGGAGGTGGTTGAATTGCGGGGTGCCAGGGTCTAGGTCAAAATGTAGTTTTCCGGAGCTGTGTAAGCGGAGGGAATTCAGGACCTTTTTCAAGTTGGGCTGTGGGAAGATGCCATGGCCTGGAGAGCTAGGGAGGCTGGAGAAGGGCTAGAACCTTGGTCAAGGTTCTGAGGGCCACCACAGTCGGAGTTGAATTGGGGGACAGGGACTTTCCAAATGCGTAGGAGCCTTAGGAGGACACCCTGTTCACACCTATTCACGCCACTCCCCACTGAGTAATTCCCAGGTCAGGGATCAGGGGAGGTCTACAATTTAAGCTGCTGATTTTTTTTGTTTTGTTTTGTTTTTGTACCTGTGTTGAGTCCTCAGTTACTCAACTGAAAGCATTTAAAACATTCTTCTTTCCTAAATTTGAAGTCGCTATGGTTGTAAAAAACAGACATGAGGCGCTAAAGCAAAGGGTTTGGAAGAACCAGCATTTCAGGGACACTCTGGAAGATCTGGACTCTTATTGGAAGAAGTGGTTACTGTGTTGGGACCTGGGTATAGTCTTACGGCTGCTTTTTTTCCATCTCCTAGGGTCTAAGGCTAACTCTGTGGCCATGATTCTCACAGAGGACCGCAGATTTCTGCATTCTGAGCAATGTCGTGTGCCGCTGGACTTGTTCTGAGACCCTTTTCCTAAAGGATGGCCAAGGGGCTCCTGATGACCTATGTCCTCTGGGCTATCGGGGGCCCTGCTGGGCTCCACCACCTGTACCTGGGCAGGGACAGCCATGCACTGCTCTGGATGCTTACCCTGGGAGGGGGTGGGCTGGGCTGGCTCTGGGAGTTCTGGAAGCTCCCAAGCTTTGTAGCTCAGGCCAACAGAGCCCAAGGACAGAGGCAGAGTTCAGGAGGGGGGATACCGCCACTGAGTCCAATTCGCTTTGCTGCCCAGATAATAGTGGGCATCTATTTTGGCCTTGTGGCTCTCATTAGCCTTTCCTTCATGGCCAGCTTCTATATTGTGGGCCTCCCACTGGCAGTTGGCTTAGGAGTCTTGCTGGTGGCTGCTGTTGGCAACCAGACCTCAGACTTTAAGAACACTCTAGGGGTGGCATTTCTTACTTCCCCTGTCTTCTATGGCCGCCCCATAGCTATTCTGCCCATCAGTTTGGCGGCCAGCATTGCAGCCCAGAAGCATCGCCGCTACAAAGCTTCAGTTGGGTCAGAGACACTCGGTGTGCGGCTCTACCGCCTGGGCTTAGCTTACCTTGCTTTCACGGGCCCGATAGCATACAGCGCCCTCTGCAACACAGCCGCCACCCTCAACTATGTGGCTGAGATCCTTGGCTCCTTCTTGAGTTGGTTCAACTTCTTCCCCCTCCTTGGCCACCTCATGGAGTCTGTCCTCCTTCTGCCTTACCGTGTCTGGAAGCTGCTGGTGGTGGATCTTGGCTTCAGCAGTGGCCATTTCCAGGAATGGGAGAAGCTCTATGAGTTTGTTCACAGTTTTCAGGATGAGAAGCGTCAGCTGGCTTACCAGGTAAGGTTTTCTTCCCTCTCATTCCTATCTGGGAGTTAGGCTAAGCCTTATTGGAACCGGTGCCCCTTATGTGGAAGCCTTGTTTTCATGTCTGCTGGGTCAGGCCTCAGAAGGGTTTCCTGGCTTCTTTGGGTTTCTCTGTGCAATGGGTGAAGGTGCAGAGGCTCTAATAGTGAGTGGGGGAAAATATATGTATTATTTACTTTTTATTGAGGCATAACATATATAAAATATACTAATTTTATGTATATACCCATTTTATGTATATACATACCACCACTCAAATCAAGGTATGGAATATTTCCATCTCTACTAGAACATTCCCTCATGCCCCTTCCCAAGCTATATTTTCCTCAGAGGTAACATCTATTCTGACTTCTGTTACCATAGATTAGTTTTGCCCATTCTTGAACCTCATATAAATGAATCATTCAGTATGTGCTCTTTTGTGTCTGCTTTCATTCAACATTATGTCTGTGAGATTTATTCATACTGTTGCACACAATTGTAAATTGCTTGTTTTCTTGTATAGTATCCCATTATATGAATATACCAGAATTTATGCATCCACTCTATTGTTAATGAACATTTGATTTCCGGTATGGGACTATTCTGAATAAAGCTGCTATGAACATTCTTGTACATGTCTTTGGTAGACATACATGCTTATTTCTCTTGCAAGGAGGAGATCTTGTCAGGTATGTGAAGTTGGAAAATGGGCAGCTGTGATTAAAGGCAAATTCTGGTTCTTGCCATGAGATCCAGAACTTGTCCTTGTTTCAAAAGGCTGGAATTCTAATGTGAGGCTCTAGGCCATTTTCACGGTCAAGTAGGAGCCAATCCCAGAGATATCAAAACCTGATTTAAGAAGGGAGCAGAGAAAGGCCCAATTGCCCTATGGGATTCTAATTTATCAGCTTCTGTTTCCCTAAGGTTTTAGGTCTCTTAGAGGGGGCAACAAATGAAGAAGTACATCAGAGATACCGGGAACTAGTGAAGATCTGGCACCCTGACCACAACCGGCAGCAGACAGAAGAGGCTCAGAGGCACTTCCTGGAGATCCAGGCTGCATATGAAGTCCTGAGTCAGCCCAGGAAGCCCAGGGGATTCTAGAGGTGAGAAGAAAACTTCCCTTCGAGGATGGACTCTTCCTGGCAGAGCTGGGCAGGGTGTCACAGCTCAGCTTTGCCCACAGGGGGCACCCAACAGCATTAAAGAAACTGCTTGTAGTGGAGATGAGAAAACCTTAAAGGGGTGAGAAAGCTATTGTGGTGGAAGAATGTATTTATGTATTGAATTTCTGAGTTCTTGGCTATTGTATTCCTGACTATTTTTTCTTCAAACTATACAGTGAAATGAAAGACATTATAAAACCAATAAAATATCTGTTAGAGAATATACCACCTTATCCCACCCCTGGTACATTGATGAGTGAAGGAGGAAGGTTATTTAACTTTTTCTTTTTTAATGTGCAAAGCACTGGATTAGGAGATTGGAGGAAAAATATGAAGGTTCTAATATTTCACAAGTTATCCTGTGACAAAAGCGATTAGATCTATTCTGTGGATTATTAAGAGGTAAGACTGATGTTAAATTTCAAAATTTCAGAAAAATATTTCAATTCCATTTATAGAACTTTCTAGGAGCTGCACTTTCCCCAAGAAGGAACAAGCTGCTGAGGAGGAGGGGATATTCCCCTATCACAGACTCTTCTGCCTGGAGTATTGTGGAGAGTTCATGGGTGGTTGGACTGGCTGACTTATCAGGTCTTCCCCAAATTTAGGATCTGATTCAGAGCTACAACACCTTGCTCTCTGGGAGCTTACAGTCTGGCGGGGGATAATCACACAGGTACACAGATATCAAAGTCCACTTCGTTCAGTGTTTTGAACTAAGTGTCATAAGAGGTGTAAATAGAGTGCATTGGGATATTAGACAAGAGACAGATGACACTGTTTTAAGAGAACTCACGGAAAAATTCATGATCTTATATCTCATATGCCTTTATGGGGACTTTGAAGAAACCCTACGGAACCAGCAGCTTGAGCATCTCAAAGGAGCCTTACTTAATTCCCAAGTTACTAACCAAGTGTGGAAGAAACAGTCCAGGATGCAAAGGAAGACTGGAGACCAGGCACAGGATGTTAAAATGATATACTTTTACTCCAGCTGTCTTCTTCTTTTTTATGTGTGTGTATCTTTCACACTCTTTCTTTCTTTTTTCCTGGAAGTTAACTCTGAGCAGTATATGTATGTATTAAAGTATGCAAAAAAACCCCCCAAAAACCTCTGGAAAAAACCCCAACTCTTTTTTTCTGGAAGTTAACTCTGAACAGTATATATGTATATATGTATACTGTTCAGAGTTAAAAAGTAGAATTTAAAAAGAATTATTTTGGCTAGTATTCTCTACAAATTAAAAAAGAAAGTCCAATCAATTGAGAGGAGTGAAATTTGTAGACTTCTTTTCTTTGCATTCATATATAAAATACTTTAATTTTTTTGCCAATGAATTTATATATCATGATTTCAAATTAACTTTCACACCTTTTTAAAGTTGCCAAAAATTATATACATTTCCTTTGAAAAACACAGTTTGTCAAATTATCACATGGAGTTTTAATGAGGCATTTTCATGAGCTATTAATTGGTCACTTAACGTGATATGTAGTACTACATCTACAAAATGTAAATATATGTATATTTTTAAATACGTTTTTATTGATTTTAGAGAGAGAAGAAGGGAGAGGGATAGAGAGAGAGAAACATGGATTGACTGCCTCCTGCATGCCCCTTACTGGGGATTGAGTCTGAAACCCTCAACACGGGTATGTGACCTGACCTGGAATTGATCCTGTGACCTCTTGATTCATGGGTCGATGCTCAGCAATTGAGCCACACTGACTGGGCAAAAGTGTAAATATATTAAAAAATAATCTATGAGGTAAAAGAGGCAAAAGAGTGATTAGGGTCTTTACTTGATTTAGAAAATTATTTTAATGTCCTCAAATTTTGTTTTTGTTACAAAAATATGAGTATATTTTAATTTACTCAAATGGGAGTAAATACTAATATAGGGTCAAACAGAATGGCGTTTTAAATGATTGATAATTCAGGAAAAGATTATAACAATTTATACTTTCACTAGCAGTGTAAGAAAGTGGACTTCTCTTTGTAACTGGCATGGACTGTTAATCACTCTTTTAAATTTTTGTCAAGATGATGGGTGAGCAATAGTATTTGCTTACTCTAATTTGCCTTTCCCTGACTCCTAGGGAAGTTTGTCGTCAGTGAATTGCCTGGTCTTATCATCTGCCTATTTGTTTTGTTTTTAAATAAATGTGATCCAGTTTGTCTTTATGAAATCTATTTTGTTTTCCTTGCTTGGTAGAAACCTTAACCATTTGTCTTATTATAGATATTTTCCCCTAATCTATAACTTGTCTTTTGTTTGAACATGGGTTTTAGGGTCAGGAGGATTAGGATTTGAATCTGGTTCCATGATTTTTAGCAATGTGATCGTGGGTTTCTTTAGCCTTAGTTTCCTCTAAAATTGAGGTAATATTATGTACTTTTAAAGGGTTGCTGTTGGAAAAAAGATAGCATATGTAGAATGAGCAAATATAACCAGTAGCTCCCTTTCCCCTTTCTAGCCTATGTAAAGAAATAGGGCTGGCATATTTAATGAGTTAACTGGTGTAGGATAAAGGTTCTACCTGTCAGGCCGAATTTTCTGAGAGTTTATTTTGTATTTTTTACAAAATTTTCTTTTGGCTTCCTGTAAATCACTGTGTGAATGCTTGCAAATCATGGTTAGAAAGAACTGAATAGGAATGCTGGATTGTGTTGTGGTGGTAGGGTTACAAGTGGTCCCTCTCCCCCCTCTCTCTTTTCTAGATGCTCTCTCTTGTTTTATAATTAAGAAAATTCCAGCGTTTCTTAGCTGTTTATGGGGAACCAGTGAAGTAGTTTGGGTTTGGAGGCAGTTATAGTTTTAAAATGGGGCAGAGCTTGTCTGAGCTAGCTGTGATGGCAGAAGGCCTCAGAATGAGACAACTCCGAGGGTAAGATGAATTTCATGGGAAGAAGATGGGGAACTGCTTGTAAGGTGGCCCTTTCCCCCTGCAGATTCTCCTTACACAATTCTCTTGTCATTTCTTTGGCAGATTCATTTCAATTAGGGAGGCTGTTCCTTGATATTTGGAGTCTCAATCGTTCCATGCAGAAAAGCAGAGGTATTTATAGTATTTTATGAAGTGCTACACTATGGGTGGTCTGCTGCCCAACTCGTACCCCCATCCCATTGGTCGCTTTTTTGTTTGTTTTTTTGGTTAATCCTCCTTCTTGTCCTGTCTTTGAGCAGATACTGAAATTGAGTCCTTGCGAGAATTAGACTAGCCACCCACCCCCTGAGGACATCTGTTCATATATCTGATAGCCAATGGTGTAGCCCAGCCTTTTTTTTTTTAAGGATAACAGTAACCTTTTTTTTTTTAAATCCTCCCCTGAGGATATTTTTTCCATTGCTTTTCAGAGAGAGTGGAAAGGGGAGAGAGAGAAAGAGAGAGAGGGAGAGAAACACACCAACTATGAGAGACACACACCAATTGGTTCCCTCCGGCACATGCCCCAACCAGTGTCGGGGATCGAGCCTGCAATCGAGGTATGTGCCCTTGGCTGGAATGGAACCTGGGACCCTTCAGCCTGAGGCTCTAACCACTGAGCAAAATTGGTTGGGGCAAAATTCACCCTTTTAAAGTATACGATTTAGTGGGTTTTAGTATATTCATAAGGTTGTGCAAACATCAACACTATCTAATTCCAGAACGTTTTTACCATCACAAAAAGAAACCCCATACCCATTAGCAATCAGTCTCCATTCTCTCTTTCCCCCAGCTCTGGGCAAGTACTAATCTACTTTCTGTCTCTATAGATTTGCCTACATTGAACATTTTATATAAACAGAATCATACAACATCTCCTTTTCTGTCTGGCTTCTTTCTCTTATAATGTTTTCAAGATTCATCTATGTTGTAGCATGCATTATCACTTTTTTTTTTCCAAATAACATAGCATCATATTTTAATGCTGTATAATATTCCCTTTTTTGGGAGACATTTAGGCTATTAATATATATTTTTGTTATAAAGAATGCTACATCGATACCTTTATGCTTCTAATTCATCTATTCTCTTGAATTATTTCAGAATAAATTCCCATAGGTGGGATTACTGGGTCAAAAGGTATGAACATTTTTATGGCTCTTGTCAATATTGCTCTTAAATTGTGGTGCCAAGAACTAAATGCAATTCTCAGATGTGTATAGACAGAACAGGGTACTGTGGGGTTATTAAGTTCTCAAGGTCTGGACAATATATCATTCTTTAAATCAAGCAGCCTAAGAATTTATTAGCTTTTTTTTTTGTTGCTTATTGAGCTTATAGCCAATAAGGCCCTTAGACATTTTCCTAGGCACTGTGTCTTAAAGCGATGTTTGCATCTACTCTATGACCCAGTGGTTTCTGAGGACTCTCTGACCTGAATTTAGTATTTCTTTGTTTTCTTTTTTCTTTAACAGTGATCCTAAGAAGCTAACAGGAGGTGTTTACTGCAGTTTTAGCTGAGAACTGCAGATGGCGCCTTAAGGCTGTCACAAGGGTAAAATATGTGCCTTCCCTTTTTTTAGGATCTGATAGTGGCACCTCCATAGCAGGTTCATTACCAGAGTTCAGTCCTCCCCATTTGTGGGGAAGAAGAGAGCAACTGTGAAGTTGGATTTGGGTGTTATTCAGAGAAAGCTCCAATTGAAGCATGTTTTCTAGTTGTCATTTGATTTCCTAGGGGACTCTGGGGCAGTGTATTTCGTGTTAGAGGTTTCTTTGCTTCAACATACATTTCATGCCACTGCTTTGGTTTTTGAAGTTGACACCCTGAGAAGCTGAGATTTTTGTTTCTCTTCCTGTTCCTTGCCATCTCTTTCTCTTAGCCACTGCAAGGGATTGAAACTTGTTCAACTAACTGGTTTTGTTTGTTTTGCTAAGGTGGGTTTTGAACGACAAAAGCAGACAATTTACATGAGGGTTCAGCTAAATGAGGTTTCACTTCAATGATTTGTTGCTCTTTTCATTTTCCTTGTTTTTTTCCTTCCAATTCTCTCCTTTCTCCCTACCTCTCACCTACCCCTCCCATAGTCCATCTGCTTATTTGCAAATTATTGTAAATTTAAGCAAGACCTTGAATTTTCTGAATTTAAACCTGACAAGTTTCAACAGAACAAGGCAGTGCCTTGTGTGGGAAAGTTGGAAGGGATTCATTTCAACTCATTCTGTGCCAGACTTTAGTCTCATACCTGGGCTGAGAAAGGTTGTAGGGAACATCCTCTGTCAGGCGGTGACTGGGTTAGCATGTGAGCCTGGCTTTGCAAGCACCACTTAAAAGGACATTATTTCCTAGCATTAATAGGTCAGGCACCTTCCAGATGAATTACTATCAAGAAAGAAATGGGGGGCATATAAATGTGTTCCATTCATATGTTTCCCAGTCACAGATCTGAGGGCAAGTAAGGCTCATGTTATGACCCCACCTTTTCTTCCATACCCATAACCACCAGTTTAGACTTGGCTTCTCTTGTTTCTTTCTCCTTTTCATTCCTGGAGTCCACAGCAGAGAGTGTACGTTTACTGCTTTTCTGTATAATTTGGGTTGGAAAGCAAATAACTGCTCATTAGGTGCAAGTGGTGCCATATTATTTTATATTAATTGACTGTGAACTCATTGTCTCTTAGCAGTTGACTTTTCTTGCACAGCTAAGAGACTGATACTTTCAGACTCATCTCCCTTCAAACTCTAATTCTTTTCCATCAGTGTGTTTCTTGTCCTCATGTTAATACCTTTTCTGATGTCACTCTTCTTTCCTGTAATTATTTTTCTTTCTGTTAATTGAAATCTTTACATTTATTTTACGATCCAGCTTAAGGTTTATCCCTAAGTGATGCCTTCACTGATTAATTCCATCTCCAGTAATCTTCCCCCCTTAAATTCCTTCAGCATTCTTGTCAAGTTTGTACCATTCTATCTAGCATTTTCTTACATACTGCCATATAATCATTCCGTCTCATGTTTGTAATTCTTGTCTCCCTAACTATGCCAAAGCCCTTTGAAGGAAGGGACCGTCTTCTCCCAGTTCAACTAACGGGACATTAATTAAATCTATTAACTTGTTATTTAACAATTTAAAGTCTCAGT